AACCCTGCTCCCTTCACCAAAATGGCCGTGCATTAGGAGGCTTTCAGAGTGCTCCTGGGGGCTGGGAAGGCGGAAATAAGCCAAAAATGGGCTGTTTTTTGCTTGTTTTTGCCCTGCCCCCCCCCAAGCACTCTACAAGCCTCCTAAAGGCTATTCATGCCTTTTTTGGGGGGGGGGGAAATGGGCCCATTTTCATGAAAAATGGGGCTGTTTTTGGAGTGCAAAAACTTTTTAAAAAAAATTTACCTCTTCAAAACCTTGGTGCATTTTATACTCTGGTGCGTCTTATACTCCAAAAAATACGGTACTTTTTTTTCCTGTGTGGAAGCAATACCTGTTTTCTGTTTGTCTTATGGAAAGTCTGTCAAATATGCTGAATTGTATTCTACAGCAAATCATGTTTCATACAGAACCTACCCTACACTTGATGAATCCATCTTGATAAACCCAGATCTGATCTCCAGATTTATTGTCTTCCACAGCTTGTATCCTCAGAAGACTCAAGTCATCCATATTTCCATCAGCTGCCATGAATTTTCCAGTCTCTTTGTTTCTGAGTCTGAAGTAGACTTGTTTCTGAAATGTAACTAGTTTTCTTTAATAATAATAAAACACCTTCAAGATTTAGCACATCCCCTTTTCTCTTAAACTAATGTTAATATTATTAAAGAGAAACATAACTAAAATATATGTGCATGTTTGTAAACTATATTTTGAATATTAATTTTACTGTACATATTTATCTTATTTCATATTAGAAACAACATGTAGATTAACATCATATTTTGTTTAGACTTGATTGATAATATACACAATGAAAACATGAGTTTTCCTAAAATTGATGTCTAAATAACTTTTATGAAGAAGCCTCATGTTAAATATTTAAGTTTTCCATAAGGAAGTAAAATGAAATCTATTAAGTGGTTGAGACATTTTAAGTAAATAATCATACCTATTACATTTTTTTGCACAAAAACATATAAATTTTGAAAAAGAGAGGAAAACATGGCATTATTTTTAAAATGTACTACCCAAAATCGGAGAACTGAATTAAATCCTAATTTTTAAATTTAAAAAAAATAACTTGAGGACAAGAAATATGCGATTTTAGCAGTATCAATAATAAAAGATATGTCTAAAACCTCAGAATGAGGTTGGCATGAAATACTGAATAGACTCACTAGTGATTTTATTCAGGGCTTACATGTGAAAGGGAATATGCTTACTTTTTAATTCAGCGCTGAAATTTTGAACAAAACTGGATGGTAGAATGAAAATCACCATTTAAAAGTCCTAAAGACCATAGTTTTCATAATATTCATAGAAGATAAAAATCACATGATTCGTATCATGTGATTTAAATGGTACTCAGGTGGAATATTAAGGCAAAGAAACAATACTGGAAGAAAAGTTGAATGAAGATGATAGAATAATAAAAAATTCACTGCAAGCTTTGATATCCCAAAATGGGCATGTAGTACCTTTCTTACCTGCAATAAAGGTCGTAGGGAACCAATTTTGTGATAGCCACTTGTCTCTTTCCAGTTTGATATTTTTTTAGGCGTTAGTAAAATCTGACGGCCTTTATAATTATGATGTTCATAAATAATCCATCTGAAAAAAAATCTCTCGTTATTAAATCTGTAAAATAATGCTTTCACTAAAATATATCTTCTTAAAAAAATCATAACTTCATAGTTATCTATTAGGGGGATATTTTAGAATTAATTTCAAGTATATCATTACACTTGTCAGTATATTTCCTATGACATTCTATAAGAGTTCTTCCAAAGTCTGTTTTATGTCTATTTTGTATTACATAATGATTTCACATGTTTGGGCCTAACAAAGCCAATTCATGTGTTTGAACCTAATAAAGCCATAATGCTTAATAGGCTCTTAGAAAACAAGATTGTGTCACCAAGAAATAGGTTCTAGCCCTCCTCATTTGTACACTAACATAGTTTTATACTGATTCATTAAAGTAATTTTCAGAGGATCTGTGGGAGCACGCATTAACAGCTAAATAATTATTATGTCTGAATCCTTGAAGCATGATTTAAGTTTATGATTTTAGATTGGCTAAATCCAATGATTGAATGAGCAGATTTTTCCTCCTGCAGTTTCTGATTCTCCAAATTAGTTATGCATATTTCCAGAAGTCTCTCGAATAGATTTTGAGAATTCATAAAGAAGTCTGATTAATTTTTTTCTGTTCTATCAATTGAAGGAGTTTTAATGGAAATGGTTCTACCTTAAGGCACCATGATGGAGACACTTTCTTTTAAAAAAACATTCAAATACACAGAAAAACGATGTTTAATTTTTTTTTAACATCTACCTTTAATAAATCTGTGACAAAATCATATCAATTGTGTGAAATTGTAAGTATTATTTTTCTGGAATTATATTAAAAACACCAACATAGTTCTGCTATTTTCTGTAACATAAACATCTAAGAAAAAGTTTGTTTGGTTTAGTTCCCTGGGTAAATCTGAAACAAGTAATTGTCAATTGTGTGTGCCTAGCTTGACAAAAAGACAGGTATATACACTTTCATATAGACATTGGAACGATATATTAAAGGAAGCATTATAGGAAATCTTATTTAAATTCTACAAATAATAAATGTTCAAGTTCAAATTAGAACTTACATGCCACCATGGACGTCTACTGAAGCAATATGAGGATTGTAGCCAAGAAATTGGAGATTCACTATTTCTGTAATGAATTCAAATTTCTTTCCTCTGAAGTTTTCTTTTTCAAAAAGGGTTATGACTGGCTCAGAAAGTTCCTGGTTTTTTTTTAAAAAAAGGGAGGTCTTAAGTTATTGTTTTGCCACCAGGGAATTATAGTGCTAATATTCTAGACCAGTGATGGCGAGCCTGCGTGCGCTTGTCAGGGCTGCAACCCGGAAGGAGTTGTCAGGAAATGAACTTCCAGTTCCCAGCGTGTGCATGTGCACCAGCCAGCTGGTCTTCCGGTTTCTGGCACTGCCGCACACACAAAGGCCAGTTGATCATCAGGCACGTATGCACACCAGAAACCTGGAAGAGGAATGGGTGACGCCATGTGACACTTTGGGCATGCGTGCCATAGCTTCGCCATCACAGTTCTAGGCAGAAAAAAGTGATGTATACATGAAACACTGCAAGTGACTTTTAAACCTTTCTATCTTTTCCCACTTCATTTACTGGGAATTAGCAATAGCAATAGCAGTTAGACTTATATACCGCTTCATAGGGCTTTCAGCCCTCTTTAAGTGGTTTACAGAGTCAGCATATTGCCCCCACAGTCTGGGTCCTCATTTTACCCACCTCAGAAGGATGGAAGGCTGAGTCAACCTTGAGCCGGTGAGATTTGAACCGCTGAACTGCAGCTAACAGTTAGCTGAAGTGGCTGCAGTACTGCACTCTAACCACTGCGCCACCTCGGCTCCATGAACCATTGAACCATTGTTCAGTCCCCAGGAATAAGTCGACATCTTTAAAGCTTTAAGTTTTCCTAAATGATTTAAATATTTATCTTTTCAAATAATTCCATCATACAAAACTGCCCGGATGGCAAAGTCTAGAATAAAGGACTTTGCTCATTGAAAAGGTATTCCAGGTGTGGGAGGAAAACAAGGAGGGGAAGCAAGGGGATTACTTGCAACCACACCTTTCCTTCTTAGCTGACATTTTCATGAGTCAGCAGTAGCTGGGTCTCCAGAATTCAAATTGCAAATTGTTGGCATCTGGAATATTTATTAAAAAAAATTTTATTGCTAGTGCCACGAAGTTAGAATTCCAAAAGAATTCTTGTTTTCTCTGAGGAAGAATTACTAATAAAATCATACAATTTTCCAAACAAAGTGTTTGGAATCAGTGGAAACCAGATTTCTTGGACTTGGTGATTCTTAGTGGACTTTAGCCTTCATTTGCAAGGAGCTAATTTTATGTATTATATAACTGACTTTCCACAGCAAGTATCTGCTGCCTTAAACCATGTAAAATAGACCATTTTTTAATGTTGTTAATTTATATCAGTGTATAAACAGTTTCATTCTGGTTTATTTTAATAATCATAGATAAAAGTGCAATATGCAGCCTTACTTCATCTACACATCCCTTTAATTCTATAATAAATACCAGATGCATTGTTGTGTGAAAAAAATCATTTAGCAAAAAGAGCACCTTTCAGTCCAAGTTCACATTACTCTAATCCTAAAAGTAATTTTTGCTTTGGGGTTGAATTTATTCTGTTCAAATGGGTGCAACCTTTTTTTCAAACTCAAAGCAGACTTGTTTGGATTCTCCAGGGACAAATTAATACACTCTTCAAGTACGATTATGTCTACTAGTGTTGACTTAAGCTTTCATCTAAGAAAAACGGAGGGGCGTAAACATGTTGAAATTCCAGCCCATGTTTATCATCGCTCTTAATACCCACACAATTATCTTTCTCTGTCAATTTTGTAAAACTTCTTTATTTTTCTTTCCGGTATTATTCCAGCCAATTAGTAACATACTGTAACCAAGAAAACATTATGGTATTATGGAGTTCAACTTAGTGATGTCTTCTCAGATTGTGCTACAAGTAGTCAAGTCAAGTAGACTGCAATACCCAAGGATATCTTTTGCTCTACTTTATCTCAAAGACATACACCCCAGTAAGGAGTAGATGTAGCTATAGGTATATGATGTCTCTAGGCTGAATACACATAGATGGAAGTTTGGTTTCTAGTTCTGTACTCAAAGAGGACTTAGCAGAAAGAACCTTCTCTTCCTCTTCTCTAAATGATCTCATTGCAAACTTTCACTTGAAGCTGCTTTGCTTTTAATTGAACTCCAGTACTAGAAACTGAGTTGGTCTAGGGTGAAAAATGCAGGTAGTCCTCGACTTACAACAGTTCGGTTAGTGACCATTCAAAGATACAACAGCACTGAAAAAGTGACTTATGACCATTTTTTTACACTTCCAACCATTGCAATATCTCTAGGGTCATGTGATCCAAATTCAGGCGCTTGGCAACTGGTTCATATTTATGACAGTTGCAATGTCCTGGGGTTAGCTTTTATGACCTTCTGACAAGCAAAGTCAATAGGGAAACCAGATTCACTTAACAACCATGTTACGAACTTAACTGTAATGATTCATTTAACAACTGTGGCAAGAAAGGTCATAAAATGGGGCAAAACTCATTTAACAAATGTTTTACTTAGCAACATAAATTTTGGGCTGAATTGTGGTCATTCCCCGAGGACTACCTGTACTTTAAGCTAGTGAGATGAGTGAGCTATGTTTTTGTTTTACATTTTTACTTATTTTTGAGCCGAGGTGGCGCAGTGGTTAAATGCAGCACTGCAGGCTACTTCAGCTGACTGCAGTTCTGCAGTTCGGCTGTTCAAATCTCACCGGCTCAGGGTTGACTCAGTCTTCCATCCTTCCGAGGTGGGTAAAATGAGGACCCGGATTGTTGTTGGGGGCAATATGCTGATTCTGTAAACCACTTAGAAAGGGCTGAAAGCCCTATGAAGCGGTATATAAGTCTAACTGCTATTGCTATTTATGTTTATACTATTTACAAATCACGTCATCCTAAAAGATTCTGGGAAGCATATATTAACAAAACAAATCAGGATTTAGTTGCAAAGTCAACTCTGAAAAAGAAGATTGGGTTATCAAAGAATTAACTATTATTTTTGTTCACTAACGGAATGATAGAATAACAACTTTCTAAACAAATTAACAATCTGTAGTTAAAAGTATCCAGAATCAAAGATATTATTACTCAGAATTATAACTCATGATCTCACTGCTACGCCTCAAATAAACCATTCACAAAGATTTTGAAGCCTCGCCCTTTTCTAACCTACTTCGCTACAAAACTCTTTTTCACAACTTACAATATTTACAACTTGTAACGATTTCAAGCATGTTTGGGGTAGGCAACCCATTGAAGACAGATCAGGATAGGCTCCTTCTTCTAACACATACTGATTCCCAGAGAAATTTTCTTTATCATATGCAATCCAACTACAATAAAAAAGGGAAGTAAGAACATAAGAACATAAGATAGATTTTAAATAATTTCAAGATTGAAACCTGCTGACAAGACTGCTGAGCCAAATGCAGCAACTATTTGGTATTTCTATTCATTATTTATTTGGTGAAGACTAGGGATAGAAAGGGGACGTGGTGGCTCAGTGGCTAAGACACTGAGCTTGTTGATCAGAAGGTTTGAATCCCTAGCGCCACGTAACTGAGTAAGCTCCCATTACTTGTCCCAGCTTCTGCCAACCTAGCAGTTCGAAAGCATGTAAAAAATGCAAGTAGAAAAATAAGGACCACTTTGGTGGGAAGGTAACAATGCTCCATGCACTTTTGGCGTTTAGGCATGCCGGCCACATAACAATGGAGACATCTTCGGACAGCACTGGCTCTTTGGCTTAGAAATGGAGATAAGCACTGCCCAATGGAGCAGGAAACAACTAGTATCCATGTGCTGGGGAACCTTTACCTTACCTTACCTTAGCGATAGAAACCAGATTTTTAAGAACAATAATAGGAAATGGTACAATTTACAAAATGGTCAACCATTTTCCTTTATGTACTTAATTGAAAGAGAATCCAGGCAAATGTAAGAGAAATAATTCAAACAGACAACTCATATTCAGAGCTGGGGCAAATGCTTTGGATTTGAGGGAAGAAATATAATCAAGAGCACCTTACAAGAGCTGTAGTCTTAGAATCCTTAGAAAAGAAGATGATTGAAGTGTTACTGACAAGTCCTCTGACTCACATTTCTCCCTTCAAATGCAAGACACTAGTAAGTTTTATTTATTTTTATGGCTAACAATGCTGATTAGAACATTCTTCAATGTACTTTTGGACTCATCCTTCTGTCATTCATCCTAAGTTAAATGTAACTTATTAAAAACAAAAAAACAAAACCCACAGGAAACTCAGAATAGTTGTAGTTGTCCATAAACACCCAGGGACTTGGAGTGGTTCCATGCATCAGCATAAAAGTATGTATCCATCCAGCCCAGTCTAAATGGCTTCCCTTTGTGCCTCTTTCAAAAATGTGCTTCCATAATAGCTTGTTGACTAGAACACATCAAAGTAACTTTTCACTCACCTGCCAGATAATACCTTTGAAGATTTAGCAGGAAATTCCACAATTTGAGACATATCTTTCTCAAGTATTTGACTGCTGCCTTGGAACTCTGGTTCTGAAAATAACTGGACCTTTAAAGATAACAGAGATCATATAGATTGACAATACATCCAGACATAATCCGTCTATTCTCTCTTGATACAAATGAGGCAGATTCAAATATGCAGTCTATATATATATATATATATATATAATATAATCCTTCCTGGATTATCTTTATACTCAGCAAACTATTCTATCAGCAACTCTCCCCACACCCCAATTCTTCACTTTTCTTAAGTCACTATACTTCTGACTTGGCTTTCATTCCATATCGCCTATGCAAAATATTTGATTATTTTTACCTTAAAATTTTCCATATGATCATTGATATCCTAAAAAAAAAAAAATACAGAGAACAAAAAATAAGAAAATGACACCAGAAAAAATATAATAATTTATGAGTGAGGAAAAACATTTTAAAAAACTGTGATAGTTTTTTAAAAGAAGAGGTATCTTCTTACCAAAAGTATAGGTTGAACTGAAGATATCTTATTATTCTTTGCCCCCCAAGCTTCACAGCTGGTGTACATTCCTTTATCAAGAATATATTGTTCTCCTGTAAAGTCAGGGTTTTCATAAGCCACCCACCTAAAAGAGTGTCAATTATATTTTATTATATAAATTATATAAAATGATTTTAGTGGAACGTAACATTTATATATATGGTTTGCCTCTGTGCATAATTTTTTTCAGTCCACTTAACAAATAACTCAGATTTTAAAGGACTCAGTGACTATTTCCATGCAGGATTTGTAGGAAACTGCTTTGTTCAGACTCTGTCATTCATATAACACTTTAGGAAACTTTTATACTTTTTCCTACTATTATGCAATTTGAAAACACAATCCTACCTCCTTTAGGAGTATCTCCTATTGAACTCAATTCAGTTTCGGGACTGACATGTTAATAATGAAGTTAAGGCTATTTTTCATTGAACACATGTGAAATTACATATAGGTTCCTTTAGTAAAGAGTTTGTATGTTGCACCCCCCCCCCAAAAAAAATTCTCCAAGTGTTACCTCAAAATGTCCTGAGATATTATAAAAGTGACGGTTATGTGCTTTGGCCGCTTCTGTCTCTTATTTTGTTTATTCTTATGGATGATGTTTAACTACCTGGTAATTAATTGATTAATGTTTATTCTGATATATAAACCCAGACATAGCTGTAAATTGCTTGGCCAAAGTGATAAGGTATGAACAACATGTTAACCATTAAGTCCAACCAGGCATGTTTGCACGTAAACCTGAACTCAAAGTTTTGAAAACAGTCCAGGCCTGGCTGGTTCTCAAAGATATTAGCCTTTTCATTCTATAAACAACATGCTACTCCTATTGCATTAATGCAGAATTTAAAACATGAATATGGTGTTGTGCTGAGAATCTAAATAAAGAATAATGATTTCTCCATTCTGCAGTAAGACTATCATGAAAATGTATTGCATGATTTTTGCCAGCTTCAATTTTCCTCCTTACTCCCTTAATCTGTGCTTTCTCAACAGAACAAATACAGTACAGTAGCCTGCTTTTTTGAACTGCTATTGAAACAGAAAAAAAAGCATTTTGAGTGTCCTTTAAATTGTTTAAATATAAGGTATGGTTCAGTGGTGGGTTTCAAATTTTTTTAGAACCTCTTCTGTAGGTGTGGCCTACTTTGTGGGAGTGGCTTTCTGGCCATGTAACTGGGTGGGAGTGGCTTGCCAGCCATGTGACCAGGTGGGAGTGGCCAACTTGTAAAATGTGGTGAAACTCACTTAACAACGCTCTTGCTTAGCAACCAAAATTTGGCTCAGGAACGCTGGCATTGAAGTGTGCAAGTCTTAAAGCTGTCAAGTTACAAGACCCTTGCACCCCTAACCCTTTAGAAAAAAAAAACCCAGGGGTATTCAAACTTGACCACTTTAAGACTTGTGGACTTCAACTCCCAGAATTCCTCCTCTCGCTCTTCATCTTGATGATGTGCGAACGGGCGGGGGGAGGGAGCTGGAACTGGTTCTAAACGGCACTGTAGATTTGTGGAACCTCTTCTATAGAAGAGGCTAGAACTGGCAGGAACCACCCCTGGTATGGTTTTAAATATAGTCCTCACAGAAGGATGAAAAGACACACTCAGGATCTCAAAGTGATTTGCAGAGAGAAAGTCAAATATCAGTATCTGGCCAGACAGGGCGTAGTTTGTTAAGTAAAATAATACTGCTTGTATGCTAATTTTAATTATGATCTACTGTAGCTCCTGATAAAATTCAAATGAAGCTTTTTCCTGTATTTAACTGTATGACTTCAATAGTTTGTATATAGTTAAGAGAAAGAAAACATGAAGAAGCTAGTCAAATTATATTTGACTTGATTTCTTGCTTATGCTTGTTTCTGTTGATACCTAAAAGGACAGAGGCACTTTTGCACTTAGAATAACCTATTTGTTTTTAAATTATAGTACTTTGATAATATTTGAGCAACCAGGTTTTCTTTTTTAAAATTATAGTCAGTTACCCAAAGTGAATTTGAAGTCTGAAGTCAGTAATAATTTCAACATCAAACAGTGATCAAATGGTGTACAGTATAAACCTTTAAAGGAAAAGTTGGGGAAATCCCAGAAAATTCTGAGTTGGGATATATTCCATAGGAACGCCCCAATAATAGATGCCAGTGGTGAATACAAGTTCTTTTCCTTGCTTTGATTTCATTCATGGGAATACAGTAGAGAAGACTAATCTGAGTAGGATTAGGATTCTGTGTTAATCACCACTCCTGAATCAGGACAAGGACATTTATTTATGTTGCCAAGCACTTCAACTTCAAAGTGCTTTGACATAGTTGCCAAACTATGACAAATGTATTCCTGCAGGGAATTAAATACTTATGTAAAGTTGCAGAACAGCGTAATACACCTTTTGTCTCTGAAAGGAAGAAAGCAATAAGGTTTGTAACCTATTGCACATATATAATTGCAAAAATGTGCCTTACATGAGGAATTTCAGAGCACTGAAAATTTTTACTTAGGGCCATGGATCACCAACATATTAATCAAACACTCAATTTAAAAAAAAATCTTGGAACACTTAACAGATTACAAATTGAATATGCGCCAGCAATGTGATCTCACTGTAAAAAAAGGCAAACTAGTTTTAGCCTGCATTAGCAGTTGTATAATTTTCAAATTAAATCCAGTTTGTTCTCTATAGATGAGATATTGCCTCCATTTATGTGCTGAGTTATGGGCACCACATTTTAAGAAGGATTCAAAGAAATTAAAGAAATTCAAAGAAGGGTGGTAGAAATTATAATGGGACTAGAAACAAGTTCACTAAAGAGAGATTAAGAGTGCTGGGCATATTTAGTCTTGAGAAAAACTCCTGAGGAGGGACTAAGTGTTCTTCAAATAATTGAAAGAATGTTACATAGACTTATTTTCTCTTGCTCCAAAGTACAGGAATTCTGGTCCAGAACAAGGAATAATGGATCTACGTTAAAGGGAAACAGATTCTAACAAAATGTTAAGGGGCGGGAAAGTTCCTAATACAGGTAATCCTCAACTTACAAGACTTCATTTAGTGACTGTTCAAAGTTACAGTGGCACTGAAAAAGGTGACTTATGACCATTTTTCACAGTTAAAATCTTTGCCGCATTCCTATGATCAAATGAAAGTTTAAATGCTTGGCAACTTGTTCATACCTATGACTGTTGCCATATCCCGGGGTCATCTGATTACCTTTTGCGACCTTCTGACAAGCAAAGACAATGGGGAAGCTAGATTCATTTAACAACCAGGTTAATAACTTATCAACTGCAGGGACATACTTAACAACTGTGGCAAGAAAGGTTGCAAAATGGGGTACAACTCACTTAACAAATGTCTCACTTAACAATATAAATTTTGGGCTCAATTGTGATGACAAGTCCAGGACTACATGTTCTAAGAACAATTCACCAGTGTACAAACAATTGATGGACAAAAATGTACTGGACTTCCCTTCATTGGATTCATTCAAGTGGATCTATCTATCTAGAGAGCATCTATTCTGAGAGGCTGCTTTAATTTCTTTACTGATCAGAGAGGTAGATTCCGTTTCCTTAATGCCCGCTTTCAATTCTGTGAGCCTAAGATTCTAGTTTAATCTGCGATCATCTTCCTAGTAACATTTAAAATTCACCCAAAATTCATCTTCCTAGTAACATTTAAAATTCACCCAAGAAACTGCACAATTAAAAAAAAAAGTTTCATAAGGGAAATCTTTTTTTCTTTGGCATTTTAATATGAAGAGAGTTTTCACTCAAACCATTAATAAATATAATGTCTGATGGCCTTGTATTTATTCCCCTTTGCCAACGTTTCCCATTAATTTAAAATGAACATCTTACTTACACTCCACTAATCACATTTATGGATTGTGTCCTTAATCCATATCCGGTATCCTTCAAATTGGAAATAATCCCTAATACATTTATACTGGAACCTTTACTGCCAAAGTCTTTTTCAGTGTACATTATCATGTGAGGGTGCATCAGATCCTGAAGAAAGAAAAATCAAACGAAAATAAACAGAGAAATGAAGACATAAATTTACTGTTTATCATATAAGAACATTTCCCTCTCACGCATATTATTGTTGCCTTGTATTTAGATGTTGTAGGAACTGCAACAGAGACTGAGACAGTGTAAAGTGGAAATCAAGAGTAAGAGGTATCCATAAAGAAGAAAATTGGAAGATTTTAAAATGGATTTTTTTTCCTTTTCTAGTTTTGTGCGCATGCGCAGACCTTTTTTGCATGCCGAACCGGCAGTAATGCCAGCAGGAACCCACCCCTGCTTCACCTATCTCAGTGTCCTCTGGATACACTGGAACTTCAGTGCCCAAAACTAAAACCAAAAGTTAGCAGGTCCAATAGCCAACATATCTGGAGAACAGCAGATTGGATACAAGCGCACTCAATTGTTAATGGCACATTTCCTCTGAAATCCATGTAGATGCTCCAAAGTCTGTGAGGACAAAGTTGCCTCGCAGTTAAAAGAATCGCCATGAAGAGCACCACAGACCAATCTCACAGGAAAAACTAATTTCAATGACCTGTGCAAATGCTGCCTTAGCACTTCCAGTGCTTCAGGTAATCTGGATGCTGACTAAAATACACATCTGAGCACAGATAGTTTGCTACAGGCATTTCTCTGTTTAGCCTTTTAATGCAGGAAGTGGTATACTGGCAAACCCTCCCCTTCTTTCCTGTACACTACATAATTACATTGGAGTTGTTGTCCTGGCTCTCAACAATTTGCTGATGGATCCATTATGTCATGCCCCTGTCGGAGCCTGAATCCGTGGGGGAGCTGGAGCTGTGGCCAATGGAGACTGAGGGGGTGGCTTTGTTGGCCTCGGAGGAATGGTGGGATGAGCAGGACGAGGCAGCCCCAGGCCCCTCAGGCAGGGAGGAATAGGGGCAGGATGACCAAGAGAGGGCAGGCAGTGGAGATGAAGAGCGATGGAGCTCAGGCAATGAGCAAGGACCACCCCCTCCTGATCCCCGAGTATGGAGACTGGAACGGAGGCAGGAACAGCTCAGGCCAACCCAAAGACTTGGGAGGACAGCAGCCTGCCCCTCTTCACAAGGCACACCTGGGGCCTGAGACTTATGGAGATGCTGTGGGGAGGAGCATTTGTGGAGTTTTGTGTGCTGCTGCCGATGTTTGGAGTTTCCTGGACTTCTTGCCTTATTCCTTGCTTCTTGAACTATTTGCCTTGTTCCTTTGCTTCCTGGAGTCATTGACTTATTCCTTTGCCCCACTGGATTCCTTGCTTTGAAGCTGTTGTGCTAACAGTGTTTTGCTGGACTACTTGCAGCCAGAGGCTGCTGGAGGTGTTTGTGTATGTGTGTGTGAGAGAGAGTGAGAGTGAGAGTGAGAGTGAGAGTGAGAGTGAGAGTGAGAG